CATGCCCAAATTGACAACTCCTACTTCAAAGAAAAGAAATATCCTATATAATAAAGAGGTAATATGCAAATTAACCCCCACGCCCTCACAAGATGGCTGCCTAGGAGGCGAAGCTTTTGACACTGACTGGCATAGAAACCGACCAATCAGAACCAAATCTGGGTGAACTGCAAGGAGCCAATGGTTGCCTAGGAGGCAGAGCTTTTGATGCTGACTGGCATAGAAACTGACCAATCATAACCTAATCTGGGTGAACTGCGAAGGAAGAACCTAAGGTGGGGGCTGAGGAGGGGTTTTAAGGGCAACAGCTATTTGGTGTATGGTGTAAGAAAGTGGTTCAATTTTTCAATGACCAGTTTGCCAGTATAGTGCATATGGCTGGCTATCAGTCCAGATATAGGGATTATGTATTTTTTGTCTGCCAAGAGCATCTCCTCCTGCTGAAAAAGGCTTTTCCCACCATTTGAGAAATTCTATCCTATATAATCTATCTATACTAATAAAAGGGTAATATGCTGATTAAACCAGGTTGACCAGCCATCTTCAGGAAATCCAACTTCCTTCTGGACAAAGCCATGGTGGTGGGGGCTGAGGCAGAGGCAGTTAGGGGCAATCAGGACGGCAGGGGATGGCAGTTGGGGGCGAGATCAGGCTGGCAGGGGGTTAGGGGCAATCAGGCCAGCAGGGGAGGGCAGTTGGGGGTGATCAGGCAGGCAGGGGAAGTTTGGGGCGATCAGGTTGGCAGGGGAGAGCACTTAGAGGGTAGATCAGGCTGGCAGGGGAGAGCAGTTAGGGGTGATCAAGCAGGCAGGCATAGGAGTTAGGGGCAATCAGGCAAGCAGGCAGAGGCAGTTAGGGACAATCAGGCAGGCAGGCAGGTGAGCGGTTAGAAATCAGTGGTCCCAGATTGCAAGAGGGATGTCCTTGATTGGAGAGGGTGCAGGCTGGGCTGAGGGAACACCCGCCTGCACAAATTTAATGCATTGGGCCACTAGTTCAGTCATAATTTCTAAAATGCAGTGGAATTTACTTTTCTCAAACATCTTCCATCTGGAACAATTCACTTCTCAACCTGACAACCCTTTCATGCTGATACCTGTAAGTTGAGTTACCCATTTCTCAGGTGACAAACAAAGGAGAGAATGCTCAAATATGAGTCAGTTTACCACTATTAAAATCTCAGGATATTGTGCTGTGAATATTTTTTGTGACTTTTTTGCTACTGTTGCTGCTTATAATTGTAAAATTTTCATTTTTTTACTGTACATTTCCTTTTCTTTTTGTTAAATTTTTATTTGCATTTCATGTCCTTTTTGCTTTTAAAGTATTTATTTCTAGGTTAAACAGTACAATAGACATGTATATAAGAAAGGTTAAAACAGGGAATCATTTGGGAGTCTGGAATTGGATTAATTCAATTTATATATTTTGGGAGAATACCAAATCCTCAATAGGTTAAAAATTTGTCAACAGACAGAAAATATCCTGAAGAACAAGAATGATTGGTTGATGTCAGTCCAGACTTGACTTTGGAACAAAGAATAAATGCAGTTAATGTTTTTGTAAAGGGAACTCTCCCAAGGCCATAAGCACATAGTGAATAAACCATCCAACAAAACCCACAAGATGTTTAGTTGTGTAACAGCCAAGCTCTGGCACTGAAACAGTTCTCATCTAGAGGTCAAATTCTCATGGATGTTTTCCAGAAGACTCTAGACTTGGATTCTAGATATAAAAGAACAGAGAGATATGCAGATTCCTCTTCTTTGTTTGGGGTTTGGAAGTGCTCAGACAAGGCCCAGCTGTGAAACAATGCAGGCTGCTGTTGAGACTTAGGACTTCTTTTGGAAGCTTTGATGCTCTTTGACCCAGAAGCAGTTTGTTAGGTTTTAGATTGCCATTCATGCGCAAAAGCCTCTGCTCACAGCTTGGGTGGGGTTGTAAATTGGGTGGGGCGGGTTCTCAGGTAATCATCAGGGTGGAGCAAACCGCAATGGCTGCCAATCTGCTCTGCCTCGGAGAGGTCCCGGGGTGTCTGTGTCCAGCAGCCCCATGCAGGAAGAATGATCGCTGCAAGCACCCCTGTGAGAGAGCCGCCCTCTCGTTCCTGTCCCAATGACAGACAGTCCCGTTTCTCCCCATTTGAGTCTGGGTCCCCAGAGTCTCGCCCCCTGGAACTGGAGTTCAGAGCAATTGGGAGCTTGTATCTCCCTCCTGATTGAAAAAGACAACAGCTCACCCAGTTGCCAGCCCGTTTCACGCGCATCTCCGTACCTCCACATTTCCACACCTACTCACCTCCTACCAGTCTCAATGCACTTTTCTCTTTCCTTCTAGTTGTAGAACTTCCACTCAGCCAGCCTTTACATGGTTCTGGATGATATCCATTTTGTCTTTTAGCTGTAGTTTTGATGTGGTTGTGTGAGGCAGCAAGTACAGGTGTTTACCTATGCCGCCATCTTGGTTCCCTCTCAAAGATTCTTTATTGCTATCACTTGTTTTCTATATCTCCTCCCTTATCAAGCTATCATAGCTTTTGTTTCTTACAGTTACTGATGGGACAGTGGGAGAGAGGTGTGGTTGTACAGTAGATCTGTATTATGGTGGGAGGTTGTTCTTTCCAACATCAGGTGCCAACTATCCTCACTTCACTACATTGCTAACTTTATTTTCTCTTTTCTCTAAGAAAACAAGCCATTCTGGCAGTGCTATGAGAGAGAGAGAAAGAGAGAGAGAAAACAATCTGTAATAACTACAAGTGTTGTACCTGCAGGAGATATCACATAGGTGGATGAATGAGTTTTTAGTAAAATTTGTTTGAAGAGCAAAGGTGTGAGAAAAATAAAGCTAATACATAATGAAACATATTTTGGGTTGGCACTAGTCAAGATGATTTAGTTTATAATTCTGTATTTCTTTCACATTGAGCACACTTTAAAAATGCTTTCTAAATAAAAGCCCACTACCTATTTGTCTGTAAAAGAATCAGCAATGAAAGAACAAAAATAATGGAATGGTGACAGAAATCTGAGTTGTTGCCTCCTCATCTTTGATCATTGATGGGGCTGACAAACACAGGACATGTTCTGTCTTTATTATGTACTTATTTGAGTGCTTAGTTGAAATTTGACCCATGATACACCAATTTAAACCCTTGAATTATAAATAAATTATTTCAATATTTGTTCTCTAGGTCAACAAAGTACTGCTAATGAATACAATTTAAATGTGTGAACAATATTTACAGCTTTTTTACTGGGTCAGGCTTAAGAGGTGACTGTGGAAAAGAGGCACAGTATCTATAAAAGTGATCAGTATTAAATAGATGATATGTCGTAAGAAGTCTGGAGAGGTTTAATTGGGTATTCTAAAGTAAAGACAAATATATTGGCAAATGATGCAAAAGAAATATTAGCCAGAAGGTACCTTATTTCCCCATAGAATTAAGAAAACATTTAGTAGAACACAATTACAAACTCGTGCATTTCTAGGCTATAGTTTAAGCCAGTGGTCAGCAAACTGCGGCTCACGAGCCACATGCGGCTCTTTGGCCCCTTGAGTGTGGCTCTTCCACAAAATACTACGTGCGGGCATGCACATACAGGGAACATTGTGGAGTGATAGAAGATGTAGTGTCGAGGATTGAGAAAGGTATGTTGAGATGGTTTGGACATATAGAGAGGATGAACGAAACAAGTATACAAGACGAGTGTGGATGGGAGAGTTGGAAGGGGTTGACCTCAGCGAATGTACCTCAATCAGATTGAGGACGTTTTTAGCAAAGGCCAGCTTAGGAGTACTCTAATTAAGTTAATAACAATGTACCTACCTATATAGGGAGGGAGGTAAGAGATCAACCAAAGGACTTGTATGCATGCATATAAGCATAACCAATGGACATAAGACACTGGGGATAGGGGAGGCTAGGGGACTGTCAAGGGCGGGGGGGAAAAAAGGATACATATGTAATACCCTTTGTAATACTTTAAGCAATAAAAAAAATAAAAATAAAAATAAATTGGCTCTCAAAAGAAATTTCAATCGTTGTACTGTTGATATTTGGCTCTGTTGACTAATGAGTTTGTCGACCACTGCTTTAAGCACATGGATTAGTTTGCTTGTGAAACTGCATTTGTTGCAGTCAAGGGAAACTTATAATACAGACAAATCACTAAAGTTCTGATTTATTTGAATAAGAAGTAGATATAGAGAACAATCTTTGCCTATATATGTACTAATATATGTGTATAGATACAGAGAATGAAAAAATGTAACAATATATCTATTTTATATATAATATATTATATATAATATATATAATCATTTAGACTTTTTTTTAATTTGGCATATCTACAACATCAATCAATTCAGAGGGTTAGTACTTGCCTGAATTCTGTTAACTTTTCACTCTGACTGGAGAGGCTGATATAATTCCTCTAAAAATACTGTTTTTAAATCTTTTCTAATTTCTCTTTGTATTTATGATTGGAAGTAATTGATAATTTAGACTTTCTCATGGAGCAAAATATATATGAAAGACCTCAAGAAATGATTCTATAGGAGTAATTATTTTAAAATATAGATGGAAAAAATTATTTTTTACAGAATCTGATGTAATCCTTGGGAGGAATTGAGGTTATTTATTTGTGTGTTTGTTTATTTTTGTTAATCCTCACCAAAGGATATTTTTCTATTGATTTTTAGAGTGGGGAGGAGGGAGAGAGACAGAGAGAAATGTTGATGTGAGAGAGACATTAATTGGTTGTCCTGCATAAGCCCCAACCAGAGCTGGGTATTGAGCCTACTATCTAGGTATGTGCCCTTGACCAGAATCAAATCCCTGATACTTCAGGGATATTCTATGCACTAAGGCAAACTGGCTATTATTTATTATCCTTCTTGAAGTTAATCTTATTTATTGTTTGCACTGGATTAGCAATGCCAAATGGAAGAATATGAATTAATTGAATAAACATTTTATACATTTTCTTCTATTCCAGTTGACTTATCATTAGTGAATAAGGATGAAAACGCCATCTATTTCTTGGGACATTCTCTTGGCCTTCAACCAAAAATGGTTAAAACATATCTGGAAGAAGAACTAGATAAGTGGGCCAAAATGTAAGTATTTTTTTTCAAAAGTTGTCATTCAGTATCTCACAGAAGAATTTAAAAAATCACACTAGATTGTTTAATGTTTGGAAAGGTGTTTAATAGCATTTTAGGGTAGAAAGGAAGCTTAGTGATCATGTCATTTGATACTTTATTTTATTGATGAAATAACTGAGGATCAGCAAATAAGGTTGCAGGGCAAGTTACTGGCAGACTCAAGAGTAAAATTTTAAAAATATTAAAAAATTTAAATCCCTTTCCTGAGTTTTCACATTTAAAACATATGTAATTATTCTTAACTAGAGGCCTGGTGCAAGAATTCATGTACTGGTGGGGTCCAGCCGGCCAACCTCATGGGGACCATCGGGGGCAGGCCGGCTGAGGCGAGGGGCCGCGGGTGGTTTGCTGGCCAGCTCCAATCAGGGTGGGGGCTGCCCACTCGGAGGCAGGTCCAGCCAGGGTGAGGGGCCATGGGCATTCTGTTCCACTGTTCAGTCAATTTGCATATTACCCTTAATTATATAGGATGACTAACAAGGGAGTTAACTTTTGGGATTTAATTTAGTAATTTTATGATTTGTTCTTGGCTAACCTCTATCACAGTAATTTTTATAAATAAGGAAATAAAAATTGTTGGGAAGAGGATTAGGTTAAGTAGAGCAGAAGGCACTTTCCTCCCCAAACTGAACACGATTATTAAGAAGATACTCCTCTTGGGCTGAGCTAAGCAACTTCCCTGCTACCATGCAGGGGTCTTAAATCAGGATCTCTTCTCTCCATTGCTTCTGTTCTACTTTTACTTTTCTGCCTATGAAACTTTTCACACATTCTGTTTACCTGAATGCTTATCCTCTTTAATCCCAACCTTCTCAAGCATACTGATTTTCCCTCCTGAAAATCCATTGCATTAATAGGCAGTTTAAGGATATCTATTTTCATCAGTTTCATATTCTCAGCGATATTCTAAATCCCTAACCTTATCCACTTCTTATCGTTCCCCCGTGTTAGGTCTGATCGAACAACTGAATCCAAATAATTGAATTGATACCCCTCCCACTCTGGGAACTGCCTTTAGACTACTTCACAACTGACATTCCCTTTCACTTAGACCACATTCCACTTGCTAAGACCATTATTTTTCTCCTCCAGACCCACCCAGAGAATTCTCTGCCCAGAAAAAGCCCGCCTAGAATCTTTAAAATCTCTGACTCCCTGTACCTAGGTGCTGGTGCCATTTGGGGGGCTCATCCCATCTGGTTTCCCAGATGACCTAATAAATTCATTTCTTTACCCCCGTCGGCCTTGTGCATTCCTCCTTTGGTGATCCTAACACCCGGTAACTACCGATAAAGCTGAAACTAGAAATGTCTTCAAAATGTTTTTAACTATTTAAAAATTTTATATTATTTAGTTATTTACATATTTAAAATATTAAAAATTAGTAGAAATATTTTTAAAACATTTTCTGATTCTTAGAATCTAAAAAAGTAGTTATGAAGAGGGAGCCAAGCTTGAAGGTTAGAAACAAACAATTCAGGAGGATGAAACCAAGCCATGTAAGAACTCGAAAGGCAAGACATTTGGCTCTTATAGAAACTCAGTGTCTGCTCCATTTCCATTATTCTCTATGTCTTTGGTCTTTCACATTGGGAGTAGTATCTGTCCTGCTAAGTTAGTTTACACTGAGTGTGCAAATGATCACTTCCACAACTATTGGAGAACACTGCAAAGTTTTTAATTTTAGTGGTTAGAAATATAAATTCACAACTTATTGCAAAAAAATTATAAGGTTTATATAATTTATTAAGCATGTTATAACTTTATCTGCATAACCTTTATGTACACATTGGAAAATACATATCACTACATGTAGAAGCATTTTGCATTAGCAGGTTTTAGTATTTTAAAAATGAGGGTCAGAGTTAATAAAAATGATTAATATTCATTTTTGGCTTTAATGTAAAAGAGAGCAGAGAATTAAATTGAATGAATTTGAACTTCAGAGGATGTCCTTGCCTCTTGGATAGTCAATCAGCTAGGCTGTGCATTTTTATCCTCAAGGCATTTTAAAAAATGCTGTCTTGCTATCCTATTCATATCCTCATGATTATCATACTTCATTAAGGGACTGGTTGGTTATTTTCAAGACTTGAAGTTATATTTCAGGAAAGTGTCTCTGCATAATACTTACCCTTCTATTGTTACCTTTTAACTATACATTTTACCCCGTGACAATAGAATATTACATAACCTTAAAACCTCTTATCTAATTTTCATTAGATGATTCAGAAAGGAGGTACATTTTAATGCTTCAAGCAATTCAAACTAAATAAAAAAAATATTTCTTCTGAGGAAAAGATTAGGTAGCTAGTTTGTTTTGTTTTGTCTTTGTTTATTTCGGTATTTGTGCTTTAAGTGGAGGTGGCCATGTGAACACCATGGCTCTGCCTGCCCACGGATGTCGGTTGGGTCGTGTTTGACGTGCAGGATTGCACTCCTGTGTCCTCCTACCCCACTCCCCAACTTCAATCTCAAAAGTGTTCATTATTTATTTGCTCCTAAATATTTAGTTTAAAATCCCATGCTGAGGTTCTGTTGGGAGCAAAGCTTTTCATTGGGGGCCTCTTGACTAGTGAACAGCCTCCAGATTAACTGGAGAAGAGTGTATTTCACGTGCTCGCAGAAGCACTGTCCGAAGAGTGATTCCCTGAGCAGCCAGGAGTACAGCTTAAATACCAGATGAGCAAAAGGACATAGTTTTGGGGCTTCATGGGAAAGTAGGGAAGGCTCCACAGGCCTTTTCCTCCTGATGATAATGTGCAGTGCCCTTCCTAGCTGGGAGCTCCCCAAGAGGGAGATTGATGGGAACTGAATTTGCACCCCCGCCCTGGACAGTGCCACCCTCTCTATGAGGGGTTCAATGGCAGCTGTATATTTGGGAGGCTCTGCTTAAGTCTAGATACTGTTTCTTTATTTGACTACTGTTTGTTCACATGCTTCGGCTTAAAGTAATCTTCATGCCACTCCAGTGGGTTGTTGTACATTGAAGTTGCTTAACAGGAAAAAATAATATTAACAATTTATAATCTTAATGGTAACATAAAAATGAGAGTGCTTTCACTGAAATATTGCTCTGGGATAATGAGACCAAGTCTTTGACTGGGCATCCATGACCTGTAAGGTAGGAAATGCCATTTGGCTCATGGTCGTCATTTTCCATGACTTCATCTTTTATGGCCTATTACAGGCATACTACCTACCTAACTACAAAATAAACCATCACTGGGCATAATGTAGCCTGATCTTATAATTTATATGGTACTGTCTTTGATTCTTATGCTAAGGAAAGGTCAAGAATAGAAGCATCCTTGAAATATTTCAGTATCCAGCTGATTTCTTCTAAAACTTCCAGATATTCAAGACAAAACTGAAAATAAACTACTTACCTTTTGTTTTGTTTTTTAATTCTTATTATTGTTATTTCCCAATATCATTTTCAACTTTGCAATTTCTAAATTATATTAATAACATTTACTTTGGAGAATGCATTTGTTTTGTGAAGTGACAATCTATACTAATAAAAGGGTAATATGCTAATTAGGCCAGATGACCAGACATCTTCTGGACGTCTGACTTCCTTCCAGACAAATCCACAGTGGCAGGGGCTGAGGCAGAGGCAGTTAGGGGTGATCAGGCTGACACAGGGGAGCAAGCAGTTAGGGGGCAATCAGGCCAACAGGGGAGAGCAGTTAGGGGGTGATCAGGCCAGCAAGAGAATGCAGTTAGAGGCGATCAGGCAGGTAGGCAGGCGAGCGGTTAGGAGCCAGCAGTCCCAGATTGTGAGAAGGATGTCGACTGCCGGTTTAGCAGTTGAACATCCCCCGAGGGGTCCCAGAATGGAGAGGGTGCAGGCCGGGCTGAGGGACACCTTCCCCGCCTCTGCAGTGCATGAAATTCATGCACGGGGGTGGGGGGGAGTCCCTCAATCTGGGGGGGAGTGCCCTCTCTCAGTTTAGGAGCCGTCAATCAGACATCCTTAGTGCTGCCATGCCAGCCATGAGCCCTGGCTTCTGGCTGAGCAGCACCCCCTCTGTAGGAGCACACTGACCACCAGGGGGCAGCTCCTACATTGAGCATCTGCCCCCTGGTGGTCAGTGCACATCATAGTGACCCATTGTCCTATTGTTCGGTCAATTTGCATATTAGCCTTTTATTATATAGGATTCCAAAATAGAAAACATTTAGGGTGATTTGACCCATTTGATATATAATTATTATCAGCAAAATGGACTTATAACAGTAAGAACCAATAAGATCAATATGCTTGGACCCTGTTGGTCTGCTAAAATGGATAGGCAATAAGCTTAAAGAATTTTTAGAACATTTTATATTAAATATTTACTAATGGCCTAGATTATTTAAAGGAGAATAGTAGGGGATAATAATCATACTGGTAAAGTTCAGCTAGAAGGGAACTAACAATCGGTTGCTTTTTGTATGAATTGAACCCACAACCTTTGGGTGTATGGGACAAGGCTCCAACCATCTGAGCCACCCAGGCAGGATCAAACCTGTAGAGAATTTTTATGAGTTTATTTGAGCCAAATTGGCAACAGTTGCTGGGAAGCAAAATCTCAAAGGATTGAGAAAATGGTCTAGCAAATGGCAGTTTTGCACCTTCATTTATGCATTAAAATTAAAGGAGGATGTGTAAGGGGGTTACATGAAATTTATTGGTGGTAGACTAGGGAGGCAGGAGAAAGCAAAGTGGGGAAATCTCTAAGGCTAGATAAAAAGTAAATGGATAGACATCCTTTCCTTTTATATTTGCAGGTATAGGATAGTTAACAATTAACATTTACAGAACCCTGAGATGGTATATGGAGAACAAGATAATAATGAGGGGTTTCTTGGTCTTGTACCCTGGTGGGAGATTGTGTCCTGAGGGGTCTGAAGAAAACTGGGGGTTACTCTGACATTCTAAAGGTATGTTATCACAGATGCAAAAA